GTTTGTGATTGTGCGAAGGGGACGCATGCGGGCGTGTGCGTACGCAGGGGGCGGCGCACGAGCAGCGAGACCGCAGGCTCTCAACCACACCAAACACGCGCGTGCACCGCGCGACGTTGCAACATGCCCCCTGCCGCCCTCAACCCCCACCTCGTCGTGCATGGTGGCGCCTGGGCTGGTGAGGCCGGGGCACATGATGTTGGCCCCTGACAACACAAACTTGATGGCTCCCTGGGGAAGGGCAGGGGCAGGGGCGGGGGCAGCGCGGCGCCCTCAGCACAGCGGGCGCGTCCGGCGGCGGCAGCAGCAGTGGCAGTGGCAGCAGCAGCAGCGGCAGCGGCAGCAGCGGCGGCAGCAGCAGCAGCGGCGGCAGCAGCAGCAGCGGCGGCAGCAGCAGCAGCGGCGGCAGCAGAAGCAGCGGCGGCAGCAGCGGCGGCAGCAGCAGCAGCAGCAGCAGCAGCAGCAGCAGCAGCAGCAGCAGCAGCAGCAGCAGCGGCAGCGGCCAGCGACACGGCCTGAGGGTGCGCCGCACAGGCGGCGGCGGCGCACGCCTGGGTGATTCGGCGCGTGCGCCCGCCAACACCCGCGCGCTGCTGCAGGCGCAGCAGCAGCGCGCACCTTGTCCGTCCGCAGCTTTGGCATCATGTCTGGGTATTGGTGGAGCACCCGCATGGTGGGGAACCACCGCCCCTCGCGCTCTGAGAAGAATAGGGGGGTGTTGTGGACGATGGCCACCTGCATGTAGTTGGGACTGGGGTTGTGGTGTCGAGAGGAAGCAGGCGTCGGAGGTTGGGATGCAGGTTGAGAAATGGGATGAGTTGTTGCTTGGCGGAAGCTGGGCTCGACGGGGCTTCGGGGCATGCGCCTGCAACAGGCGAACGGGCAGCGCGGTCGCCCTCGCCGGAGCAGTCCCTTGAGCGACAACAGCGGCGGCCGGCGGCGCGGCCGCGCAGCTGCTGCACGGCTCGTTGTATCGGCTTTTGAGTTACAGGGCCGGGGCGCCGTCGGAGGCTGCCGCATGCCATAGAAACCGCACCACTTTGCTACAAACATGGGCTCCTTTTTGGGAAGCAGCACGTCTACCACGCCATTCTCCACCAGCCAAGGATACTGCTCTGAAACGGCAGCTGCGGAGGGGGGACGGGGGACAGCCATCGCTATCAGCGGGGGCGTGTCGGCAGTGCTGCCCCCCCCTGCCCAAGCGCAAATGCAGCACTAGCGGCAGCCGCTGCGCTCGCCCGCCCCTGTTGCCAGTCCTCACATCTGATGCCGCGTGCTACTGAGGCCTTGACTTGATTGTTTCCAGAGACCTCAAACTTTTTGAACATGGCTGCTGCTGCTGCTCAGCCCACGGAACGATAGTCACGGGGACTGATCTAGCGATCTCGTAGTTTCAAGTCGAATTCAATCCAATGAGTGACGACGTACGATGTACTGATACGTTGTCGCATATCATACGTGAATGATAGCACACGGTATACTGTAGCAGGCCTATGGTGACCTGCGTCAGCAGCCACTTTTCCCACTGCACGTTCGCTTTTGACGTGTCTGTGTTGCACAGAGATATGATTTGGAATATCTAATGTGGAGCTGAGCTTGGCAGGCGACAGTCGCATCAAACCTGTGCGTGGCGGCCGTCGCTCACTCGCGCCACGCACACTGCGCAGTGACAGCTCCAGCGCAGCAGCGTGTAAATATAGGTTCAAATAGCACGGAAGGATGCGTACGATGCACAAGCGCTGCCCTCACTCCAATGTAGCTTCCAGCGGCCGCACGAGGCGCTCGCCCGCGCCGCCCGCCCGTCCCCGGGTCCTGGCAGCCGCAGCAGCGGCCGACGCCCGCGGCCCGCGCGGCGGGGCGGGGCGGGCCGAGGGCGGCGCGGCCGGCCGGCAAGAGCTGCCGCGGTGGCAGCGCGGCCCGCTGGACCGTCCGTCTGTTCGGCGCGCGCCCCCTCGGTGAGCGAAACCGCTTGGGTTGCTGGTGACGCCTGGGTTGACCCATGTATTGAAGCACGACCTGTCGTGGCCATCTGTAGCGGTCACTCAAGTACCTCAAAATGTGAACGGCGGCGTCTCGCTGCGTTGCAGGTGGGAAGACGGAACTTCCCCAGAGGAGCATCAGCAGCAGCAGCAGCAGCAGCAGCAGCAGCAGCAGCAGCAGCAGCAGCAGCAGCAACAGCAGGAGCAGCGGGCGGGGCGGGCTGCTCCTACTGCTCCTGCTGCTCTCAGGCAGGATGGGCGGCGACAGGACCAGCAGCAGCACGAGCGGCCGCAGCAGCGGCAGCCTCGCCGGCCCCCCAGCGGCCCCCCCTCTGCCCGCAGCGAAGCAATCCGACAGGTGGGCCGGGTAGTACCCTGCACCCTTCACCGCCCGAGCGCACTCTGGGCCCCCCTGGCTCGAAAATGCAAACCCCTCTGATTGCCACAGCAATCGTGGGCGGGCGGGCTGCTGGAACCGACACCTCGGCCGCCACTCCTCTGCTCCATGCGCCCAACACCGCGTGCCGCCGCCACGCCCAGCCTGCTTTGGCCCGCTGCAGCTTGAAAAACTCTCATAGCAAATCGCTCAGCGTCCCGGGCCAAACGTTTGACCCCATCTGACCGCTGCGCTTTCCCGTTCGACCGCCGCCCGCCGCAGCTGCTGCGCATAGAGCAAGAGGGAGCGTACTCTGGCCTGGTCAGCGGGCGCACAGGGGCCGGGCCGGCAGCGCGTGCGCCACCGCGGCCAGGGCCGCTGCAGCCCGCCGGGGCCGACGGCGGCAGCGAGGAGGGCGCAGACTTGGAGGATGAAGGGCCTGACGGCGGCAGCAGCAGCGGGGTGGCCGTTGGCCTTGACGACAGGCGAGTGGGCATGCACTCGTGCGCACGTGCACCCGCGTGGGCGTGTGTATATTTGTCTGTACACATGTGTGTGAGGTTTTGAAGGGCGAGGCGCCGCAGCTGGCTAGGTTGCTGGTAGGGGTGCGTTGGTCGATTCCAGCCCAGCCTCAAGCCACAGTCACATTTCAGGCTTCAATCTCGCAATCCAGACCTTGACCCACGCTGCGCTGCGAACCACCCTGCGCGACCTCGCATTGCAAACGCCCGCATCCAGCGCCGCTGCTCTCAAATGCGGCTGTTTGCCCGGCCTGTTTCTCTTTCTCATGCCGCTCTTTGCCATTTTGAACCAATTTCAAATTTTGAAAAGGGACCTGCGGTTTGCCAAGGAGCTGGTGTCTGGCGTCACCCGGTGGCGCCGGCGGTTGGATTACGTAATCAGCGAGCTCGCGGGGCGCACCACCGAGTCGCTCGAGCCGGAGATGCGCCAGGTGGGGACCGGGGGAGCATGCCCTGCTTCTTAGGGACCAACACGGCTGTGCGGGAAAGCACAGCCACGTGCACGCACACAATACTATTGAGCATGGCAGGCTGCATCAGCTTGTGAACAGAGTGCATCAACTCGTGGAACGAGTTGAGAGGTTTGGACGAGCAGCAGCACGGCTCCCCAGCCTCACCCCGGACCTGCCCGTCATCAAAGCGCCCTGCGCCCTTCCCCCTTACGCCCTGCAACCCCACGCCCCACGCCCTGCGAGCCCGCGCCCCGCGCCCCTGCCGGCTGCTGTCCCAGGAGCCCCCCCCCCCCCAAAAACACCCCTGCCCTCCAAAACCACCGTGCCTTTTTACATACGCCCCGACAGGTGCTGCGTCTTGGCCTGTACGAGCTCACACAAATGGGGGCCCCCTCACATGCGCTGAACGAGCATGTAGAGCTAGCAAAGGCCTGGGTGCGGCCGGCGGCGGCCGGCTTTGCAAACGGCGTGCTACGAGAGGCAGCGCGCCGCGCGGAGGCCGGGAAGCTTCCAGACCCGGTGGGTGGTCGGTGGGGCGGGCGTTGGGGGAGGGGTGGCCTGGCGGCTCAGCGTCCCAAGCGCGTGTGGCGTGGCCGCTCGGCGGTGGGGTGGGCTGTGCCCCCGAGCGCCGGCGCGGAGTCCCCTGGTCCCCTCGAGGGCGTTATGCAAGACGTCTTGGGCCGATCGCAGCGCACGCGCCCTAAACCCTGGCTTGGGAGAGCTGATGCGCAGCCCGCTGCACCCTCGCATTCACACACGGTGCGCCCAGTCGCGACGCGACGCGCCCGCCTGCGCCCCGCCCCGCAGGCCGCCATGGCCGGCGGCTCCAGCGTCCGCGACCGCGCGCGGCGCCTGGGCGTCGTCCACAGCCACCCCACCTGGCTGGTCGCCCGCTGGCTGCGCGCGCTGGGGGAGGAGTCCACGCTCTCGCTGCTCGTCTGCAACAACGCGCGCCCCTCATACTCCCTGCGCGCCAACGGGGCGGCGCTGGCGGCCGCGGATGAGGAGGACGGCGCCGCCGACGAGCAGGGGGCGGCGACGCCGGCTGCGCGCCTGCTGCGGCGGCTGCGGGCGCTCGAGGGCGTGGAGGCTACCCCCTCCCCTCTGCTCCCATCGGATTTCGTGCGCGTCGCGTCCGGCCTGCAGTCCGTGCTGCGATCCGGGCTGGTCGCGCGGGGGCTGTGCGCAGTCCAGGACGAGTCCACGGGCCTGGCGGTGCAGCTGCTGGACCCGCGGCCGGGGGAGAGGCTGCTGGATGCCTGCGCGGCGCCGGGCAACAAGACGCTGCTCGCAGCCGGGCGGATGCTGGGGCAGGTGCGTGCGCGTACGCTGGTGCACTTGTGCGCGTGCGGGGCCGGGGATCCATGACGCGGCTGTCGGCTAGGGGCATTGCGAGTTGGCCGCGCTGCGCCTCCATGGCCGTGTGGCACAACCAGACATCCGTTGAGGCTGTGCTTGTTGCAAGCAGCAGCGTACCAGAAAACCTCGCGCTGCCTTGGCTTACTTTCCATTTGTGAAATTGTACCGTTTTGTTGTTGCGACGGCTCAGGGGCGCGTCGTCGCACTGGACGTCAGCGCCGGGCGCCTGCAGGCGCTGCGCAACGCGGCCGAGGCCCAGGGCCTGGGCGCCATCGTCACCACGCGCGCGGCGGACCTGCGGCAGGAGGCGGCGGCGGCCAGGGCGGCGGCGGATGGAGGCGCGGCAGCGGCGTCGTTCGATAGGGTACTGCTTGATGCGCCGTGCTCAGGTGCGTGCCAGAGAGAGAGAGTGTGTGTGTGAGTGTGTGTGTGTGTGTGTGCACGCGTGTACGTGTGTGTGTGTGCGCGCGTGTGTGCGCGTGTGTGTTTGTGTGAGTGTGTGTGTGTATGTGCGCGTGTTGACGGGGGGGCGCGCGGCAGTGGGCGCAACGTGGGAGATGCTGGCTGGAGGGGGCCCGTTTCGGGGAGGGGGCCCGATGTGCGAGGGCGCCGCACAGCGAGGGGCCGTCCCGCAGGGCCACGCTTGGTGGCGATGGCCCGCGCTTCCAATAGCGTCCCGCTCGTCCAACTCGTCCGTCAACTACCTGAACCAGACACCAATTTCACAACCGCCTTGTCGAGGCGCAGGCACCGGCGTCCTGGCGAAGCGCGCGGACCTGCGCTGGCGCCGCACGGCCGACCAGATTACTCAGCTGTCCACCCTCCAGGATGACCTGCTGAACGCAGCCTCGGCCTTCGTGAAGCCCGGCGGCCTACTGGTCTACAGCACCTGCTCGATCGAGGTTGACGAGTGCTCAGATCGCGTCCGCGCGTTCCTCGGACGCCCCGAGGGCGGGGAATTCGATCTGGAGGCGCCCCCGCCGGGGCTGATGCCCGAGGGGGTTGTTGGGCCCGACGGGTGCGTGGCGACACTGCCACATCAGCACGGCGTGGACGGGGCGTTCGCGGCGCGGCTGCGGCGGCGGGGCGCGGCGGGCGCGTGAGCTGCGGGGCGGGCCGCGGTTGACGCGCGTTGTGCTAATTGCCTTTCACGTCAGGCTGCTGCCACTGTGGAACACCATGAATGATTAATGGAGCCTCAAGAATGTCTGTTACTCGTGACCAGCGATCGCGTGAATGGCGGGCGCAGAATGGCTGTCAGGTGCAGCTCTCGCAAAACCAGCGCTCTCAATTTCGAGGGGAGGTGCGCTCTCGACACGCGCAAACTGCTTTGGAATAGACAAGCAACTGTCTTGAACATGCAGCGATAGGCGTCTCGCAGGGTGGACTCTCTGAAAGAGCACTCACAGATCCTTGAATAGAGGGGCGACCGGGGTGCGCCGCCCGGGCCCTGGGCAAGGGACCGCGGGCGGGAGGGGCGGCGCAGAGAAAGGCAGCGAGGGCCCCACGGGGGCACACGCGGCAGCACAGCGCAGCAGCACACAGCAAACATCAACGAGGGCAGCAAATCCGACAAATGGGGGCTGAAGACGACCGGTCAAACCCGGTCAAAGGTGGTCAAACTTTTGAGGGTGCGTCGGTGACGCCAGCTGTAGTGCCTAATCGCTGTCCTTGTTGATGTTGAGGACCGCCATGAATGCGCTCTGGGGCACCTGTGGGGACAGAACAAGGGAGGCGAAGGAAGGGAGAGCGGGGCGGTATACCATCAGTGACGGTCCCTCTCATGGCTTGTGTCGTGACGGCCACTATGTGGGTGTATATATCTTCTTTGGATCAGGGCCGCGGCTGGTCGTGTTGGGGGGGACGTCAAACAACCAGAGGTCTGCAGCGACTCCAGAAAGGGCCACGCGGAGACAGCAAGGATGAAACTGCAACTCTCCGCCCTCTCCCACCCAGCGCAGCAGCGTTGCACCGGGCCCCTCGCTGCCAACAGTCACACGGGGACGCCCTCGACGACCACGCGAGCACGAACACACAGCCGCGCACCTCCACGCGGCCGATGGCCTTCATGCGCTTCTTGCCCTCGGCCTGCTTGTTGAGGAGCTTCTTCTTGCGGCTGATGTCACCGCCGCTGCGGGGTTGTTTCAGGGTGAGAGGGTTGGGGTTTTAGAGGGAGGGTGGTAAGAGGTGGGCGAGAGCATTCAAGGGAGGAGGGGAGGCGGCGGGGGTCAGGCAGGGGTCAGGCG